TTGAATATAATAATAATATCTAAAAAAATTTAATCTTTAAAACTAATAATTTTTTTAAAATTAATTAGGACTAATTAGGACTAATTAGGACTTTACCAACCCTACATATAATACTCCCCTGAATTTTGAAATATCATAAACTATACTACTAAACTCAAAATAAATTATACTGCTAAATCTGAAGTGTAACAAAGGTAATGATTGGCACCTTATTTCAGAGTTCAGGAGTTTCCGTAAGTATTTTTGTGACGTGTATTGATTTATTTTTAATCAAATTAAAATTTTTAAAATAATCATGTGATACACAATTTATCATTCTTTATTGGTTAAGACTCTAGCTTTGGACTTAACAATGGCAAGCCGTTTCCCTAGTAATAAGGTATATTGGTCGGCTAGCCTTTAGAAGAACACCATCATTTTAATCGATTTTCCTGCCTCTATAGATGTCCTAAAATAAATATATTACTTTTTTTGCTATATATCAGCATTTTGATAGCTCCATCATTTTGATTAACTATGTACTTGAAAAATTATTAATGAAGTTTTAGGGCATTTGCATCAATTTTTTTTTCTTTGTAGAAAACCGTTACCATTAGAATCATCGAAAAAAAATAGTCATTTGCCAATTCCTAATTAATTTGATTGGCTCATTGTCTAAAGTATTGATTTCTATGTATAACGTTATAGCAATATCAGATATTAAATAATTTGCTATTTTCCACAACTTTCGATTTGCTTGATGTCTGTAAAACCTTGTTTAAACTCAGTAAATCTATATTTCGAGAGCACGCCTGTCTCAGAATGGTCGTATATAGGATTTTTAGAAGCACTGAAAGCTAATTGCGTCTATGAAGTTCATTCGCTGGCTGACCAAAAATCTATATGAAGGAAATGATATCTTACATATTTAAGTAACGTTTTTATTGAGGAACAGGATGGTATTAGTATTAGTAAAGAACATGCAACTTTTCTGATTCAACAGGTTGGTCAATTTTCTCTTCCGCTAAATCTCTGAACTATCAAGGGTGAGATCTGCGCAACCTGTAAGGGATATCGTCCTTTTTATGGCATGGGGTATCATTCCTCAGCACTGTATTTTACAGTCTTTTCTGCTGTTGCATAGCTTAGGGATGGTATAGTCCTTCTCTGAGTATGGGGTATCATTTCTCAGTGTGACAGTTGTGGGGTATCATTTCTCCAGAAAGATCATGCCCTTCTTTATTGATATTTACTAACTGCATTTTATTTCTGAGTTTTTAGAAACGTCCATCTGAAGAAGAAAACTTTTGGAATAGTGTCAAGACTGAAAAAGATCTAATGGTAAAGGAGGTATGTATGAATGTTGATTAAAACTCCTCAAAGTGTCAATGACTTTGGTTGCGTTCTCATTGAAACCCTTTTTCTAGGATATTTTCGATAAACAATTACAAATTGACGCGTTAAATGTGCTTGAGGCTACTCGTAATCAAAAAACCGAAGAGTATATTGATAAAGTTAATTCACGCTCATTAAAATGAGTTAAGATGGCAAAAGGAAAAGAAGTGGATACATCATTTGGCGATGAAGAATTACCATCAACTTCATCAAAAAAGGTCAGGACTAAGGTTGCTGGACGAAATCAAGAGTTTAGACAGACGTCTAAATGGTAAAAGTAAAACTTGGTTAAATTATATT